TCCAACGGATCCATGAAATAATTTGAGATCCACTTTTTTCTTTGCCAAACGCCAGATTAACAATCAATTCCCTTAAACAATCAATTCCCTGGTGAACCAACCCGAATAGGAGGAAAATTGAATTGGGTCTAAATCTAAAGGGAAAATTATCAAATCTTGATTGTCAGCAAAATGTCTTTGTTTTAGTTGTTTCACCCTAATGTTGTGGCTGCCAATATCACCTCTTCAACTAAGCCAACATTGACCAAAATAAAAACTCTCACATCTCTTTTGACCAATGCTATATGCTCGATTCCATTCATTACCTATCTGAGGTTTCTCACCATTGTCAATTGTATTCATAGTAGGTGTCGTCTGAAAATCAAGGCCAAACCTCTTGCAAGTATCCTTAAAAGAAACATGAAAGAGAGAGTTTGGAACATTAAGATTGCTTTTGTCAGGTGTCTGTTCATGTTGTTGAAGATATCTACTATGCATTTCTTTCCCACGATTTTTAAGAAATCCCCCACTTCCCCATTTTTCTCTTTAATAAACTCCACCTCTTTTAACGATACCTCCACCTACACTAGTGTTTCTTCCTCCCCAATATGATTTCTCTCCTTAGTTTCTTTCAGTTGAGTCCCTATATTGACCTTGGAGATTCCTTTACGAAGATTCTTTTTCTCATCCCCAAAGAGAAACTGCAAGATTATAGGGAACGACCCAATTACCCAAGCCCATGCCTGGATGATCAGCCTAGGCCTTGGAAATAAAGAATCATCTTCTTGTGAGGAGCAAGGGACAAGTGTAGGGATACGATAGATCCAGTTGATTGGTAGTGAGAAAAGACTATAAATAAAGTATGTTGGCTATTGTTGTGAGGCATGCGAGTAATTACCTTTCTGCTAAGAGATTGGGTTGTTAACAGCTTGGACCTTGGAAGAGGGTTTACCAGTCCTTTGGTTATCCTTTGATTTTGTTCTTACAACCATATGATTCCTTTATTCAGATTTGATAAGTTGATACTTACTGTTCCGTTCTCTATCAATTTGATTCCATTGCCAGGTAACGATGGCCGCTCCCGAGACTCGGGTGAATACCCAATTGCAATCAAGGATTGATGCTTAAGACGGGAAAGTCGAAGCCCTCAATAACAAGGTGAAGGATCTCTCCTTGTTGATCAACTCTATTAAGGAGATCCTTAATGAATTGCCCAAATCTCTCGAGAAGTTGGCGAAAGATTACCAAAAATACCAGGGCACACAATGAATGGGAGGCATTAGCATTTAAAGGTAATTCGAAGATGGCTGATCACGATTTTGGTGAGAAAACCCTAAATTGAGGTCTGGAATCTTTCGTTAGAAACAACCATTTTAAAACCACCATATTTTCCATGCCTAAAGTAAAGCTTCCTGTATTCGAAGGAGTAGATCCAAGGGGATTGATTACCAAGGCTAAGCTCTATTTTCAGGTTCACCACACTCCTCGGAAACTAAAACTAACTCAGATGTGTATGGATGGTTCAACTCTCAATTGGTTGACCAATTTATTAATCAAACACCCACACACCACCTGAGAGCAATTTCAAGTAACATTGGTGACCTGATTCGGTGGGACTAATATATTAATACACACAAAGCTTTGGGATCTCTGTTTCAAGGAGATATTGATGAGTAGATAGAGTTTCGTACGCTGTCTGCCTCCCCGATCAATCTGAAGAACAATTGATCAGAATGTTTCTTCATGGTCTTCAAATCGATATCAAAAACTGGGTTAGAGCCCTCCGCCCTGTTACGTGCAACCAAGCAATGGATCTTGCCTGTCATGTAGCAACAACCACGACCATTCATGGGGATAAAACCAACGCAAGGGATAAAACCTCGTTCAATAACGAGACTCACGGTTTGAACTAATCCTGGAAATACACCCAAAAAGACTCAGCCCTACGCGCGTAGATAAGCCCAATACCTTTAACTTAATTAGATAGGCCCAATCCTCCTACGGGCCAGGTCCACTATAGAGTCTGCGGTACTTCCAAAACCAACATGCTAGTCCACCGATATCCATGAACTCGACATCTTACTAAGCAAGAGTGGGAAGATCGATGCACATAGGTTATATTTCGGTTGTGGGTAGAAATAATCTCCTCAACATAAGTGCGTTGAGGGACAATTTCGTGTGATTTTGTTGACCGACGGCGAAGAGTTGGGTGAAGACGAAAAGATTCGTTGTATCCAAGAAAAGTTAGATTATGATATGGCCCCAGGTGGACTGTAATGCACTCGAATTCTATGGGTTGGCATCAGACTCCTTTTCGACCTTGATGACGCTTAAATTAGCGGGAGAATTACGGGGCATTTTTGCCCTATTTTTGGTCGATAGTAGAGCAACACATAACTTCCTTTCTAAACAACTAGCAGTAACTCTGGGCCTACAAATTAAATTAATAAACCCCCTTTCCATCAGTTTCAGCCTTTAGGGATGGTACTCGGGTTCGGATTTCAAAGATGTGTCGTGGAGTTTCAATACAATTGGGTACCTTCACTTGCGTTGTAGATGCCTTAATCTACGATTTTGGGATCCTTAGACATGATTCTCGGCATAGCTTGGTTAGGACCTGGGGGATGTCGTTTTTAATTGGCAGACCCAACAAATGTGGTTTTGGAAACACGAGACTCTCAACTAGTTGCATGGAGTCTCGTCTTCACCTTTCAACCAATCCTCGTTAAATACATGGCTGGAAGAATAACTTGGTCTCTTATCGGCAGATATAGAGGCTACAACAGCTCAGCAAACCCAATTGGAGACTCCAATTGGTTGAATAGTTGGGACACATCTTTGATGGTCATGGGGGGTGAATGGGACCGTTCAAGATCTCGGCCATTCAAGATTAGCCGGCCCCAAAAATACCAAGGTTATCCGGGGATTTCTTGGTTTCATGGGGGCTACAGGAAATTCATGAAGGATTATGGGAATATGACGGCATTAAAGAACATACTTGGGAGGATGCAACTGCCATTCAAACTCGGTTCCCTGATTTCAGGCTTGAGGACAAGCCTGCTCTTTGCAGCATTGATGGGGAACGACCCAATAGCCTAAGCCCATGCCTAGATGATCAACCCAGACCTTGGAAATAAAGAATCGTCTTGTAGTAAGGAGAAGGGACAAGTGTAGGGCTCTGATAGACCCAGTTGATTGGTAGTGAGAGAAGACTATAAATATAGAATGTTGGGTATTGTAGTGAGGCATGTGAGTAATTACCTTTTTGTTGAGAGAATCAGCTTGGGCAGAGGGTTTACCAATCCTTTGGTTATCCTTTGATAGTGTTCTTACAACCATATGAATTCCATTGATGGTTATTTCCTTTGATTCAGATTTGATAAATTGATATTTACTATTCCATTCTCCGTCACAACAATTTAACTTTTTCCAGTTGGCGGTAGAGGTGCTAAAAAACCGATCAACCCAACCCAACCCAAAGCGAATAACTCAACCCGAAGCAACCCAATGTCTAATCGAGTTGTAAAATCTTCACATCGTAGTTATTGGGTTACTTCAATTTGAACCCAACCCAACCCATGAACCCGATATCCTTTTATTTATTGGATTTAATATGATCATTGAGTCTCTATTAATATGTACATTAGACGATTACACCATCATGTATCCTCTTCAAATACATGTATTTTCAATCTATTCTCCATCTTTATATAACTCCTTTGTATGTATGTATAGTAATTGTGAACATAAATATATATGCAAATTGAGAAAATTAATTGAATGTGATATACTTAAGATTTAAGAAGTATGGATATATTGTACCAAATGGTTGTTGATGAAAAATAAATTATGAGTAAAGAACAACAATATTTTGATGTACCAAAGTATCAACCTAACCAATCTGTACAGTTTCGGTGAGTCAGGTTGGGTTGGGTTAGGTTAGGTTGAGATTTGCCTTTAACCCGAACAACCCAACCTATGAGCACCCCTAGTTGGCGGTTGCAAGGAGCATTGTAGACTAGAATTGTCCATCGGTTCACCACGTGGTGCGGTTGGCGGTGGCAACGGTGGTGATAATAGCGTTGATGGCAGCGGGGGTCTGCCAGGGCGGCAACAACAGTGATTGAGGTTGTACTTTGGCAACGGTGGTGGTCGTAGCAGCTGTGGTGGCAGTTTCTAATAATCGACGCTCAACCAAAATTCCCCATGCGCTGTTAACACCAGAGAGTCCATCGAGAAGTTAATTGTTCGTGTTACTTTGTGCATAAGACTGACACAACTTGAAATTACTTGATTGGCTTGGGCCATACTAGATTTACTAATATGGGCCTTAATAACATTTCTGTCTTTTCTTTTTAGGACTGATATCCCACGCTTGATCTCCGCTCTACGGCCTTTGTCCAGTTTCATGGCTATGCTGTTAAAATCGCGATATTTCGGCAATATATCGAATATCAGTCTCTGGAAAAATATTGGTGGTGAAATATCGGATCCGATAATATCGCCGATATTTACCAATATTTCACCGATATTTTGATGGAAAAATCGGTCCGATATACCGATTTTCTGTAAGGCAAATGCTTGGGCTTAGTTTTTTGGGCCTCTTTATTTGGTTAATCAGTCAACACATATATTAGGTTTCACACTTGTTCTCTTTTCGGTTCATCACAGTTCACGCTTCTTCTCTTCTCGGGTCTTTCACAGTTCACGCTTATTTCTCTTCTTGGTCTCCTTCATCTTCACGGTCTAGCTTCTTTTCTTTTCTCGATCTCTTTCTCTTCTCAGCAAATTGTCAAGTCTCACGAAGAAGTGAACGTATTAGATGATGTTGACTCGGATGCCCGAACCTATTGCTTGCGATTAGCTCGTTTTTGAACACTTTTCCCATTTTGTTTTGTGAGACTTGTTTATGTGATGTTTTAATTTTGAAACTATATTTCTAAACTCTAATTAATGCATATGATGTCTATGGATGCATATATATAATATATATATACATATATAATTCTAAGAAATATTATATTAACCGCTATTTTGGACCGATATATCACTGATATAACCGAAATATAGAATATCGGTCCTGACCGATATTTTGTATTTTGACCGCAGTAACAGCATAGTTCCATGGTAAAGAAGACCACAGTATCATAACCGACTCGAGAAACACTCTAGTCCTACTTGAGATCCAGACGTAATCATGTGGTTGTAGAAATCTGATTAGAGATATTCGCAACAACTATGGATGAACAATTGGCTGAATCATATGTCATTGTATTTCAGATACATTCGCCTTAAAATACATTCGCCTTAAAATACCTTCACAATAATCGATCGAATCTCCTTTTTCTTCATTCTTCTCCTCCATTTATGATCACTGTCTCGACTACGAGGCTATCATGGCTGATTAGGATTAATTCCCTAGATGGCCCTTTCATTGGTGGTGGTAAATCCTCCGGGTAAGACAACCGATGATGGAGGATTGGTGTGGAGGATAGTTTTGGATCGGATGGTAAGTATCTCAGCCCAGGGTGTGGAACGAAACTTATCATTTTCAATCCTCATCACTGCGAATTCCTGAGTGATGAGATTATTCTGATCACACGGAAGAGCTGTTGAAGATAGGAAGCAATGGACCAGATCACCTTCTTCATGGATTTCAATCTTCTATGCACTTGTATCTATCTCCATGGATTTGGAACTACTCTGATGCCAATTTATTATGAATGGGATTGATTCAAACAACTGAGAGTTTCAATGGAAAAACAATATGGAATGGAAACAGAGAACCAAAGCATATGTATTTCACTGCTTAAATGAAAAGGAACATGGCTATTCGAGAGGCTGTACTCTCCAACATTACAAAGGAAATATCTGCATGCCCTACACCTCCTACATCTTCCCTTTTCATACAGGATTTATTGCAAGTAAGTACTCAAAATACCCCTTCTGATTTCTTCTACAATAACAAGTATGGACAGGCTTGGGCTTAGGTCAGTGCATGACAAAATCCTTAGTAGTGATTGAGATATGATACCATATTTGTCAAATTGATTTTCCCTTCTCTTTTTGTCCCGAGTTAACCATGTTAGTTGATACTTGCCCCAAAATAAGTGTTCACATTTCTATTTTAGTTTGTTCCAAAATATATTACCACTTCCAAGATAGATATTTATAGTTTACTAAATTTTCAGCTTTACCCTTAATTATGACACAAATATTTAAGAGTGATGAGATGGAGAGAGAGAGAAGGTTTGCTTTTACTGTGAGGAGTAAAAATTGTCAATCCGTTAATTAAAAAGTGTAACGGTTATAGATTTCTGAAACTGTGTTATTGTGGATATGATGTTATTAATATTGGAAAATGATGTTATTAATATGATTGTGAGAGTATACATATGTAATTGGTAATTTTTTTCGCTTTGACATGTATTTGAAAAAACTATAAATGACCAGTGACCACTATTTTGCCTATATTGAGAAAGGGGACATTTAATGCGGGATGGATTATGAGTGTGTTTACTTCTTAGTGCTTGATAGGCATTATTTTAGAACAAGTTTGGTTCTCAAGTTGGCTGTTGATGATGATATATGAATTCTTTTAATAAAGTGAGGGATTGACAACATTTCTTATCAATACTGTTTGTGCATTTTCTTTTCTTAGACATTGGGCTAATTTCTGCACAAAAATATGAAATCTGTTGTATTTCAAACATCTTACTCAGCTATTCCTTGGTGATTGTTAACGTATTAAGTTCGTACAAGACACAATGGGTTTACTTAATACTCCCTCTGTCCCAAAATACGTGCCTACATTTCTATTTAAGTTTGTCCCAAAATAAGTTTCTGCTTCCAAATATAGGTTGCTAATTTACCTATGTTGTTAATTGCGGTCCTATAGCGGTTAGCGGTCCTAAGTGAAATAGTGGTTCTGCTAATAGCGGCACTAATCACTGCAATTAGGCCACAATTTTGATTTGCAATAGCGGTGTGAAAACTGCAATAAGGAGTTGGGCCTTCAGTTGGCATTCTAAAGGGTCTAGAGAAGTCGGTTAAGGGATTACGAGCTTGGGGGATGATTTTAATTTGCAATATTGGTGTGTAAACTCGCTATTCCTCTCTCATCCCTTCTATTCCAGTCTACTATTCTACATCTTCTCTTCACAACAACATTGTCTTCCAACAGCGATTGCTCGTCATCTCTTCTATTCACGTGTTCTTATGTTCATCTTCAAAATATATATTATGTTATGTATACATTCAAACATTTATATATAATTGTAATTATTACATGAACTGCTATTTGTGAACCGCTATACCATCACGATATCCGCTATATCAAATCATGGTCCTGACCGCTATTTCAGGTTTTGACTGTTGTAACAGCATAGTAATTTACTCAATTTTCAACTCTACCTTTATTATGACAATGAATATTAAAAAGTCGATAGAGATGGAGAGAGAGAACGTTTGCCTTAATCATTAATGGGTAAATTTGTCATTCAGTTAATTAAAAGGTGTAATTTTTTATTATGGCATTTATTTTGGGCCGGATGGAGTATTCAAATGTCTAATCTAGGCTCTTTATAATTTTAGTGGCAGGGAGCTCAGCTGGTATAGTTATACATGCCGTATTTGTATCAAAAGCATCAGGCCTAAAGCTCAGAAAGTATGCTGGTATTACTTCAATAGAAGTGTGGATCATCCCAAGCTATGAGAACTCGGCATGGTCAATCATGGCCATATCTTTCATTTCCTTGCTGGCTATGTCTGCGGTACTGGCAACTTGTTTCTTTGTCCGTAGGCATCGCATTAGACGAGAACGTCCACAAGCTTCTCGTGTTCGAGAATTCCATGGGATGAGTAGTCGGCTGGTGAAAGCCATGCCAAGCCTAATATTTACAGCTGTTTTAGAAGACAACTGCACGTCAGCAACATGTGCGATATGTCTTGAAGATTACAATGTTGGGGATAGGCTTAGAATTCTGCCATGCCGACACAGTAAGTCTTCTCTTTTGTTTATTTCTATATTGCTCTACCAGAGGACAACATGAGATCTTTTGCTTCTCTTTCTCTGTATCCACTTTGAATAATGATATCAATATCACCTATTGTAATCATAAGATCTTCATGATGAAGACAAGGAAAAAGATAAAGAAACGGAATGTGCTTATGGGAGTGACTTATTTCTGGAACCTTTTTAAGCCTCGCTTCTGTTAGAAAGTGGTGCTGAGGTTCGTAATTTGTGGTGACAGTTATACTTCTAAAAAACACGGGGTCAGTCTCTATGTGCATGATTAAGATTCGAATTCTTAATGTTTTGAAGTAGTCTTTTTGTCTCGGTATAAGTTATATTCTAGACTAATACTTCAGATTAAGAAATATAATGACAATGGAAAAAGTTTTTAAACCCCTCAATTGGGCTCTTGCCTCTAGTGAGAACACATATTTTAATGTCTAAATTGCATGATAACCAAGGGAAGAGAAACATGTTGTAATGGATAAGATCCAGAAAAATGTTGTAGCTTTAGATAGATGCTTATGCATGTGGTTAGTGCATTTGTCCTCATATATGCTTGAGTGAATATATCATAAGACAATTTGGGAGGACCTACAAGGATTCATTTAGTATATAGGGCTTGACAATAAGATTTTTATATGATCATAATGGTCATTCATGTAGAGATAGTAGAGGATTGGAAAAAATTCATAGAGGTTTGGATACGATAGTAATAATTAAGGACATGACGATATTAACTTTGTTCCGAATAGGATTAAGATTCTGTGCCATGCCAAATCGTAAAATTGTACCTCAAAGAGTTTCTAGTCAGACAAAGTGGACTTATTGGCGGAATCCGCATTAGACATGCTTGCTGACCAATGGAATGAGAAATCCAATTTGGTGGTGAAATGTAGAAGGCCATCAAAGAAGGCAAGATGTGGAAAGAGATGATGGCATGCATAAGGGGATGGTAGGTGGGAAGCAGAGGAAGTAGACGTCATAGCATGAGTTCTTTGTCAGTGGAACACGGAGGCATGAGAGTTTATTAAGAGGATAAAGGATGCTATGTACTCTTACATGATTGTAGAGTAAACAAAATGAATAGCAAATCTAGAAGCTAAGGGGCCGTTTGCCAAGCGCTTACCCAGGCAAGTGCTTACCAAGTCACATTACCTTACCAGATGAATATGACAAGTACCAAAAATTTTACCCGGTAAGAGCGAAGGAAAGGACCGAGAGAGTTGTTGCCATCACTTACTGGGTAAATTGTTGCATATGATGCCATTTTGGTGGACTAAAATCTTACTCTGTACCAGGCAAGTGTTTAGGTAAATGGCCCCTAAGAAAATAGTAAGGGAAGCTATTGGTAAAACATCTAAGAAATTATACAAAAGAATGACTTACAATAGTTGGCTATGATAAGAAAATGGAAACTAGGGACCTGTCTCACATCAAATGCATCAAAGAGAGTACCAATGGCTTCTAGTCAAGGATGTGGTTAGAGAATGGAGGGGTTATATTGGTGCTTGTTCAATGGAAATAGTGATAGGAGTGCAGGGTAATTAATAAGTTAATTACATGCTACTTATAGAAGGTTTACACCTATAGCTCCATAAAAGATGAAAGTCGTTAAAACTATTGGTTTGATATAGCTTTCATATCAAGGTTGGGGACCCATTATGGAGGAGGTAGCCATAGTACGGAGCAGTAGTTTCTTTTCGTAAGACCAAGAAGATGCACTTTTGCCTTAATCCTGATCTACTAATATGTGTACTGATAGATCTTGTGCATAGTATTTGATGGAACCACAGGAACTAGCTACTGTGCATGGTTTCAAGGTCGACACATATCAAAAGATTGGTTTTGTTCTATGCCATGAACATATACAACAAAGGTTAATTCTTGCATTAAGAACTCATGGGGATGTGGTATTTGCTGAAGGTATAGCATAGTGTTCCATGGAGAGTAATGTTAGCTCTTCAAAATAAGAAAGTTTATGTGTGATGTATGTGCATGTGATTATATATATGTTTGATTATGTAAATGAATGTGAATGCAGCAGAAGTTGTCTCTACTCTTGTTGGGTTATGCAAATGTTTAATGTTAAGTCCTTTGATTTAGGGCAAGGTTATTAGCCGCGTAGTGAACTTAATGGGACAGCTTATTCGGTCGGCTATACATGACTGTTTGGTAGTGGCATAGTGGTATAGAAAGTGGCTTATTCAGTAAGCTTTTACGGGGAAACTTTATGCAGAAGCCAAGTTTTTTTCCCATACCTGCCCCTCCCGATTGAAAAACACGCTTCTTCCATCTATGAAAGAAACCTCCCAAACAAAAACCTCCTCAATTTATAGACAACTCTATCCATACAGGACTTAACGGAAAAGCAACCATCAGGTTGCAAAGAAACTTATCCTGTCATGATTTTGGCTAAAGATATTGTGTTTGCTTAGTTAGGCTATATAAGCTTTTAATGTAAATTCGAGGTTGAGAAATGCAGCCCAGAACCTAGAGGTTTTAGATTAAAGCTGATTTAGTAGGGAAGCGAAAACATGTCGTAAACATTTCCAGACATGACATGTTATGGAAGATTCCTGTTATTTGGGATTAGTATTATATGAAGGTGGAGATATTGACAAGATTGTCAGTTCAATGATAAGGCAGGATTCTAGGATAAGATGGGGTCTATAAACTGTTGACAATCTTTGGGATCTATTATGGGATTTAAAAGTCCCATTGCAACAGAAATATATATATATATATATATATATATATATATGTAAGCTATATAAGATGGTGGTGGGACCTGTTAGGGTAGAATGCTTGGCCACCAAAGACAATATGCACAAAACATGAGATAATTGATTACATATTCTGTAGTTTGCAATCTCATGAAATTTTCTGTTCTTTTTGTTGTTGACAGAATTTCACGCAATTTGTGTGGATGCTTGGCTAACTTCCTGGAGAACCTTTTGCCCTGTTTGCAAGCGTGATGCGAGAACCAGCACGGGAGACCCACCAGCATCAGAACGCACGCCATTGCTTTCGGCTTCTGTGGCTTCGTCAACTATATTATCTTCTACGTATTCATCATCTTATGCATCTTCAAGAGCAATACAAATTGGCCAAGCATCTCCACATACAGGTTCTAATATCCATTCTGTCTCTTCGAGCACTCGCTACAATCTGCAGTCACTTCAATCCCCATATCTTAGTCCAACACGAAGCTCATTAGACATTAGGAACGCTTCTTCACATAGATCTTGTGCCTCCCATTTGATCTCCTCAAACTCCTTGGGATACCCTTCATTGTCGCCACTAAATTCCCGACACATGTCTTCATATTATCCCAGTCCAGTAAACGCTTCATCAAGTTTTATGTGGTCCTCTAGTCAGCAGCCTCATCCTTTGCGCCATGCTGACTCTGCTGCTAGCTTTTCTCCCTTTGCTTCAGCTCAGTCCCTCCCAGAATGTTGAAACTATCTATCCATCTATATCTATCTGTACATTAATTCTACTTTCCGCTGATATTGTTGTGTTGCTTTTCATCTTTATTTCATGTTTGTGATCGGTGAGTTATACTTATTTGTTTGGACGGGCATATTAGTAGACATGGTATGGGTTGCTTTTATGAAAGTGAATAGTGGATACACAGCTTCTTGTTTATATGCAAATTATGGATTGTACCCCCAAAGTTATTGTTGAGCAGAATCTATAGCAGATTTTTGTACATTGTAGTATGATGGATGGTATGTAAAATCATCTAAATAAAGGGTTTATTTTGCACTCATGGAAAATGTACCATTTCATTGCCAATAGATACATACATATACATAAATATACATGAGAGAGAAAATGTAAACCAAGTCATTTATATAAATTGTCGATTTTATTAGTATATTTAGTGAAATTTTTTCATGAAATTGTGTTATTTTTGTTTTTATGTAAAAATTAAATTTTTTAATTTATTTCTTATTTTGATGAAATTTATTTACTAAAATTAATAGAATGAAGATGATAACGTCTACAATTAATGTCTCTCCACAATAAAAAACTACTATTCAACCCTCATAATTAACAAAAAGAAAAAATAAGAATTAAGATTAGTTGAATAAGGGTTTCACAGTTTATACATTTGGTTTGCATTTAATCCCCCCTATCTCTCTCTCTCTCTATATATATATATATACATATATATGTATATATATATATATATACATATATATGTATATATATATATATATACATATATAGAGGTTGATTATTATACAACCCTTGACATTTGTGCAACCAATACAACCCAATCTCAACCATCCATTTCATTTGATGTATATGTGATTTATAGAAATTTTGATTGTTTCCTAATATAAAGTATTAATCATAATTAATGAACTCTATTCATATTCCCTAAATATTCAAATCATAATAAATGAACTCCCATCATTTCTATAAATATCTCAATTAATTGGGTTGCAAGGGTTGTACAAATACACAAGGTTGTAAAAGAAATATACCCTACATATATATGTATATATATAAGATAAATAGCAACAGAGGTTTCTCATTGATTTGATGAGTCTTCGTGTGTGTGTATATATATAGGGTTGGATTTACGTGGGACCAAAGGTTTTTCATAGCAACAGAGGTTTCTCATTGATTTGATGAGTCTTCGTGTGTGTGTATATATATAGGGTTGGATTCACGTGGGACCAAGGGTTTTTCGTGAGACCTGTAAGACCAATTCTCAACCCTTGGATTATATCTATAATCTGAACATTCATAATCACAAAATTGCCACGAGACTTCTCAATAATTAAAAAATTACCACCATGCAACTTTAAACCATTAGATCATTAACTTATAAAGTTGATCAATGAATATAAATTGGTCTTACGGGTCTCACAAAAACCCTTGGTCTCACGTGAATCCAACCCTATATATATACACACACACGAAGACGCATCAAATCAATGAGAAACCACTGTTGCTATTTATCTTATATATATATAACTATATCTATATATATACATATATATGTATATATATATATACACAAACATTTTTAAAATACAAACTTTTAAAAACATTAAACGAAGAACATTACTAATATAACCTCTTTCTCCGGCATCACTTATGGATGCCAAAAAGGTTCACTCCGGCCTTACATCCGGGGTCCAGGTCCCTCGAGATTAACAAAATTAATGTTTCGATTCTTTGAAAACAAAAGTTTTTAACATGACAAAATAAAAAATTTCACACAACAAAATAAAATACATCAAACATAAACATTTTATACAACAAAAAATCACTTTAGAAAACACAAAACATAAACATTTTATTTAAAGATTATTATACAAAAAACAAGGGAAGATTGTTACAACTCTAACATTACATTAAGTAAACCATAAGGATTTTCCTTTCGAGAGACCCCTTAACTACTAATACAAAAATTAAAGAAAAGAAAAAAAAAACTTACTTAGGCTAAAAGCTTTATTAATCTTGAAATTGAAGAAGGATGATGAACTTGGAGATGAAGATGATGAAGATGGCTAACTCATTGTTGGAGGATTTTTAATTCATCGCATGAATTTGTTGGTGGATTGAGAAAGGATGAAAAGGTTGGTGATGGGAATGAGGAATCTTGGTGATGATGATGGTGTTGGTGGTAATGATGGAGGAGAGTTGGGAATCTTGTGAATATGTGTGTGTGATGAAAGATGCTTGATGATGTTGGTGATGAATGTTGTTGTTCGATCGATCTTTTGATTTTTTGATGCTTGATTCATCTGAATGAGATTCCCTTATATAGGGAAATTCTCAAAGTGAGAAGATGACACAAAAGTATGAAGGGTTTTAACACATATGAAATACGTGTCAAGGTCTTAAGAATAATCTGCAAAGTGTTAATATCTGGTTTGCAAAAACTGAGAGTCTTGTCGTTTTCTGTATTATGACGAATCTTTTTCTTGATTGATACTTTTGTCACCATTCGTCTTGTCTCTGAACTTCTAGGTATTGAGATTATGTCTGCCAATTGAATCAAAAGAGTATCCACCGTCTGAACAATAGACACTCTGATATGCATCTAGAGAGCTTGAACGGTCTTCGGGAACTGTGCCTTCTGAAATTTTTTCTTCAGTATGCTGAGGAATGAAATTCCTGATCACTTCTTCAATAATAATATTGATCTCGTTTCTAATCTTCACTTTTGATTTTCTTATTTTCTTCTTTTTTGGTAAAGATTGGTTTTGGTCTTGGGTATTTTCAAGCTGGATGGAGTCTAAATGATGAGCTTCTTGGGATTGGGTATGGACAGAAATATCTGGTTTAGTATAGGAAGGTGAAGGGTCAAGGGTTGAAGGAGTTGGGTTGTATTTAACAAGGAAATCAAAATGTTTTCCAGGTTCTCCAAGAGAATCCCAGATGTCTTTATTTTTTGGGTTTTGTGTCTGATTTTGAGTCTGGCTTTGAGTAGAGGAATCAAGAGTCCTCTGTGTTTCTTGAGATTTTGGCAATCTCATAGCCGTCTCCGGATTTGATAAGTCTTTACCAGCCACCGGTTGAGCTGGACTAGCCATTGAATTTGTAGGTTCGATGATACCTTTATTGACATTAATTGGGGAATGTCCACCCATCTTAATCTTCTGTATTGGGCCAGAAGATGAGCCTTTGTTCTAGTTAAGAGAATAAGAAAGAATTTGTCTCTCGAGCATTGAAACTTGTTTTTGAAGAACAAGTTTCTCGTTTCTAAGAGCTGAGTATTGTCATCATTGATAATTTTAAAGTTTCTGGACAATCTCACAATGATCACAAAAAATAGTATGAGTATGGCTCGGGTCTTTAGAAGCAGAAAAGTCTAAAGGGGGTTCTGTATAGTTTATGAGGGAAGGAGAAACGAAAAAGTTTTTTCCTAAACGCTGTCTGGCTGAAGAAAGGGCTTCTTCATAATTATCAAAACCTTTGTATAAAGGACCGGGATATCCTTGAGTTGCATTAAGAACTTCGATCCAAGTATGGAAGAAACCTATCTTTTTTCTTTTGAACACAACATAAAATTTAAAATGCTTAGCATTCTGGCTAAAAAAATTCTGATAAAGCATTTAAACAAGCAATAAAATATTTAATGTCTTTTGGGTTTTTGCCGAAGGCTACCCAAAGGTTGTCTACAAGACAACGTTCTTCTTTGCTGAGAGAGATATGGTTCTACAACCTGAAAGATACATTGCTGCAACTTGGAAAAACAATTAGTTCGTTATTTCCAAATCTAAGACGTTCTTGATAATTTGGTCTAGTCTGGCTAATAAAAGTCTGATTAATAGTAGGTCTTGTTATAGGATTATTTCCCGAAGAAATTCATGGTCTTGGAGGAGGTATAGACATCTGCAAGAAAAATAAAAATTACATCAGTTTTATTTTCTAATAATCTATTGAGAATATATGCAGCTTTATTATAACTACCTTTGATGTGCTTTATTTCAATAATTAAACCAGTATTATTAATTCTATCTAAAAAATTTAACCAATGTCTCTGACTACTTCTTTTGCTTTCGCCTTTCATTTTATTGTAGAAAGAGACAATTGCTTCACAGTCTGTTCGAATAATAATTTCTTTTTTCGATATGATAAAAAACTCAAAATTGTCTAAAGCATAATTTATGGCTAACAATTCTGCATCAATACTGCTAATATTTCCCTTCTCTTTATAAATGTCGCTGCTATAACGACAAATTTTTTCTGAAAACTGGTCTGCATATTTATGAGGTTTACATACAAGGATAGCTTCCCATCCTTTATTACAACCATCAGTCTCAATAATCAAATAGTCTGTATCAAGAGGTAAAGCAAGCTCGGGTAGAGATTTGATCTCATTTTTTAATTGTTGCACAAGCTTAACATCTTCTTGATTAAAATATCTTTGCCCATTTGGAGAAGTTTTTGCATATAAAGGACCAACAATTTTTCCAAGATTTTTATAAAAGGTCTAGCATAATTTATCAGTCCTAAAAACTTTTGCAACTGTTTTAAATCTTCTAATTTATCTGGAAAATCAAGAGCTTTTTGAGCAATATAAGGTTGCAAAGATATTTTTCCTTCTCCAATATTTACTCCAAAAAAGTCTATATATTCACGAAGTAACTGCATTTTCTTTTTACTCAAAATTAAACCATGTCTGATAAATTCTGAAAAAACAATTTGCAAATGGCCTTTATGGTCTTTTTTATTTTTATTGAAAAGCAAAATATCGTCTATATAAACGGCCACAAAACTGCTATGTTTATTAAAAACGTCTTCCATTTTTCTTTGAAATATACTCGGGGCATTCTTAAGCCCAAAAGGCATGACCAACCATTCAAAATGACCTTATGGACAAGTAAAGCCGTCCATTTTATGCTGTCTTGATGCATTTTGACTCGCCAAAATCCTGATTTCAAATCAAATTTACTAAAAATCTTGCAATTTTGAATCTTGTTTATCAAAACAGTCTTATCAGGAATATTATATGTATCATCGATTGTATTATCATTCAGTCTTTTATAATTAATAACCATATGACTCTTTGCTCTAATTATTTCAGAATGAATTCTAACAATAAAGGCAGCTAATCTATGGGGAATATCAGATTTTCTAATTGTAACATCCCCCCTCCCCGTGGTCCGGAACGGGCGGTATCACTAACAGGACTTAATTCAAAGACACAAACGTTGCTGTGATAACTAGATCTTGGTTATCATCTGAGGTAACTAATACGTGATTATTTATTATGTGCTTACGTGACAGCATGATAAATT